ATTATTTCGACCAAAAATTATTGTTTGTTACGTTCGTAGTAATGTAGTACATTCCATTGTCGGTCACCTGTGTCAATTCACGTGCACACTACAATTGTTGTTGTATTTAAATCTTTCGGCCAATGAAATGAGACGTTACAAGTTGTTTGTTTGTGATACGCCAGAATGTTATCAATGAATTATCAATCGCTAAACTTGACTGCATTTCAGTGTACCTATTCAAAAACGTAAATGCAAATTTCACAAGGCTTGATGCAATAGCCTTTTTACTGTCTAATAACTTGCAAGTACGAAAAAGACAGGAAAGAAGTATATTTTGTCTATATGTTTTGTGTTTGCACACTTTTTAAAGTTGATCATGCATTCGTTCTAAAATAAAATTTTGACCATATAAAAGTTAAAAGATGACATAATTGGACAACCGCAATTGTTAAATCGCTTTGACGTCCGAAAAAAAAATAATAATCAACACATCCATTGTAACTTTTAAAGCCAGTTAAATCCTTTTTTGCTGAAAGAACGTCCGATATCATAAAAATTCATTATCAAAACATAACAAAAACACAAGTAAGAACGTTTAAGTATTCAATATAAATCAAAACACAAAGGTTATTCCTGATTAGTTTTTCGAATTATTTTATTTAAAGTTTGTTTGACTGATTATGTTGCACGACCTTTCGCTAAGCTTGGCCGCAGTTCAGTATAAAATGTATAGTTTGATGATCTTTTCTGCTAACTACTATACTTGTGAAAAAACCCTTGGCAACAGAAACATATTCAGCTTTTTTTTTAATCGACCCAATTTACATAGTAATGGACGACTTCGTACATTTTATGATCGCAAATAAAATATGTATATAATATACTGTGCACTGTAGTTCGTATATATATACTGAGACCCTTTGGTGACCCCACAGTTTAAATGTCTATAATAAATACGTCGTGAGTTGTGGGCGTTACAGACGAACGTTCACCTAATCTGACCCAGTCAATGGGATATTTTAGAGCGCCAATCAATGGTCTAGGCTACACTGTTTTGCACATGATTCTAGCATTTGATCTTTGACCTTATTTTATGCAAAACTGTTACCACATTTCTTTTTGACCACATTGATATTTCGAAAGTACATGTTTTGACGAATCCAATAATATTTAATATAGCCATATAGTATGTTTGACGATTAAATTTTGAAACAAGTTGCTTTTTAAAAAAAAAGACAACACGTGAACCTTAGAACTTTTTTATTCTAATTATTAATTCAACTGAATAAGAAATTATATATCAGTGTTATCTTGGCCATGTGTGTGGAGGAATAATATTTTCTTTTTATTGTAAATCATTACAATTTTGGCATGTTGAGAGAAGTGTTAAATATAAAGCAAGGAGAGAAAAAAAAAGATTCCCAGACGTATACTTTCTTAAAGAATAACAATAATTCAAAATATGGAGGACACATGTACCTTCTTCCAAAAATTCATAAAATTAATCTAGAAATAAGTAATGAGGCATTGCGAACTGGTCAGCTAGCAGGACACATTAATGTTCGTTACCGACCAATCATCAATAAGTGTAACTCTCCCGCGAGAGATACTTACTAATCATAATAGTCTTGATCTAATTATAAATATAAAAAAAGGATGTGGTATGATTGCCAATGAGACAACTCACGACAAGAGACCAAATGACACAGAAATTAACAACTATAGGTCACCGTAAGGTCTACAACAATGAGCAAAGCCCATACCGCATAGTCAGCTATAAAAGGCCCCGAAATGACAAATGTAAAACAATTCAAACGAGAAAACTAACGGCCTAATTTATGTACAAAAAATGAACGAAAAACAAATATGTAACACATCAATAAACGACAACCACTGAATTACAGGCTCCTGACTTGGGACAGGCACATACATACAGAATGTGGCGGGGTTAAACATGTTAGCGGGAACCCAACCCTCCCCCTAACCCGGGACAGTGGTGTAACAGTACAACATAAGAAAAAACTATAAAAATCAGTTGAAAAAGGCTTAACTCATCAGATGGATACAAACAGAAATACTACACAGAGTGGACGTGGCCGGGTACTTGTATATCCCAACAACAAATAGACACTAAGTACAGATCTGAGAGTACTAGCAGTTACTGACAGCTAGTTCAAAGCCACTAACAACTAATTAAAAAAAGCATGCATCTAAGACTAAATTATCAATTAGTACACACCAACATCCAATTATTGAAGAGGCATAACTTTTACATTCAAGATACAAAAAAATTTATTAATAAAATAGAGTCACACGAGTGTATGCATTCTTATTGCCTATGATATACGTCAATGAACACAAATATGATCATTGATAATTTAGAAGAAACTGTTATCAATGAATTAGAATTTATTGACATACAGGAGAATATACTTTAAAGATTCACAACAAAATAGATTTAACTGCATTTGTTAGATTAATTCTTAGAAACAATGAATTTGAGTTTAATGGACTGGTTTACAAACATTATTTATTATATTACAAATTATAGGAGCGCCAATTGTCACCAACATGCACAGATCTGCATATGTCTGCCCTATTTATTAAAATCTTAGATAAGTTCCAATGGAGAGAAAACATCAAATTACACTGTCAATAGGGATGACGGTTTTATGGTCTTCACAGGCAAATTAGAGCAAGTTGAAGATTTCTTTAACCTTGCAAACGAAATTGACCATCTACTTCAGTTCTAATATGAGGTGTCGACATCTAGTATGGCCTATTTAGAGGGTGGTAAAGGGTTATTTTCGTGCAACGTTTTCGGCCTTTTTATTTCTCGTTTTCTCGTGTTTGGTTCGATGTGCGTGCTTCATGTTTTCCCTTAATTATTTTCCGCGTTTCGTGTCGGTACTCTTATTTTCTCGTGCTTGTCCCGCATTTGATTAAAAAGTAAACCGGGACTAATTCAAAGTCAGCCCAAATATTGTTTTAAATTATAAACTAATTAACTGGTCCCAAGATATTTATTAATAGCCTATTGTATTACTATGATAATCGGATGCAACTAACGGACGCTAAAAGGTGACCATATGCAGGGTCGCCATGTCCATTTATAATGACTGCATGATCTCCAAGAACGGCTGAGTAATAACGTTTGGTACTTTTTTCCTTAATATTTACGATTTTATTCCTTGGCTTCGTTTTTCCAGAGTGTTTTTTTTTTTTCGTGCAACGTTTTTGCAATTTGTTATTTCACGTGTTTCTGTGTTCAGACCCTCCTTTTTACCACCCTCTATTTAGATACCGAAGTGTACAAAAGTGAACGATTCCAAAATAATGGAATTCTTGATGTTAAGTCACATATATTAAAAACACAGAAACGTATCAATATTTACCAATCACTAGTGCACATCCAAAACACACATAAATTTAAGAGCATTACAGTGTGTGAATACTATAAGATATTTCTACATCTACCACTAAGTGACCACCGTCATTTGGTTGACTATCCTGTCACTGTTTGGTGTGTGCTTGCATACTTAACAAGTCCAAAATAGTTTTAACAGAAAGGAAATAATTTGTACTGTACATAACATTTATACATGGTGCAAATAAAAACATGGGACTTGAAATTTTTATGTGCATGCAGTAGTCAAGACTTTCTGCAGCGGTCACTGAAATTATAGTGACATCAATGAATTAAATAAACATTTAATTAACTTACAAGATAACTTAATTGATAGAGAATACTGTAAAAAGAAAACAGTAAAAGTTTTTAAAATGTATATTAACGAACAGTCTTTATTTTACTTGTTTTATTTTCATTTGGAACAGATTTTTTTTTATCTGATTTGTCAAAATGACAAGTGTGCATAATGATTTTATTGTTACAAATCAAATCCCACTATAACTCATTATGTAAAACCACAGCACTATTTTAAATTATCTCTCTGTGAATATCTAGACACAGATGTTTGATACCATAGGTCGTTATAATTAAATCTTGACCATTTAACTTTCACTTGTTCATCAAAGGGTACAACTGTCAACTTTGCTCAAGTCAGTAAACCCTTGCAATGCATACATGTAAAATGTAGCTTTACAATAAATATACATGCTTGAAAAGGATCTATAGATTGTTTATTATCATATATCAGATAAGTGAATTAGCGATCTTCGAAAATTCTTTATTGCCATGTTTTAAATATCTTAGATACACCATATGGAGGTGCTCTTAATTGTAGGAAGCTAATACAGATAAGATGAAAGGGTGTCCCGAATGAACAATAATTTAGCTTCCGAATATTCCTCCATAGACTATATTTCTAACTAATAAATATGCGTGAACCCTCAGGGGTTCACGCAAATATCGAGTCTTGTCACCGTACTATTAACTGATATCCTAGTCTAATCATGGAAGTAAAATGAAATATAATACTTCCTTTGTCTAATCCACTCGGAAGTATTGGTTAAATAATTCACAATCTGTGCAGACTATAGGAGATGTATAGATTGACATAATTAAGATATTGACACTAATATGATGTTGGCGACCATGTGTTACCCTTTTGATGTCTAATCTATTTAATTTGTACTTGGATTGTTATCTTATTTCCACGAAATCTATATCTCATTGCTTCAGTCTTTTTATAAATTTACTGTTTACAATACTCTGCATTGTTCGAAATACTAATGATTTTCTACCCAAGGCATAGATTAAAATAGTTTTGGAATTTTGAGTAAACAATGCTCTTCAACTTCGTACTTGCTTTGAAATTTCAACTAAGTCATCGTTGCATCAATCGAGCTTCATTGACGAGTCTTGTGAAGACGAAACTCGCGTCTGGCGTACAAAATTATAAGCCTGATATATTTGATGAGTTTTTTTTATACATACTTATTCTGCAAGTTAAGAAATTTTATGTAGTCACTCCATCCCGGTCTCTTTTGACATGTACAATCAACAGTTTCAACGTTATAGTAGTTTTTATGACTAGAATCAAAACAAAACGTGAGCATTCTTATCTCATATCAATTTTATTTATCAACCTTAACGACCCTTTCCTCCATACGGATAGGGACATGGCTCGTTTTCATTGTCTTTCATTACAGCTTTTTCCCAACATGGTCCATCTTTTACAGCCTTACAGTCTGGATGGAGGCCAACCAAAGTTATTCCTATTCTGGAAAGAAAAAACCGAAACAATGCATTACTTTTAATATATATATTCTACAACCGACCATCTCCTCATTTAGACATTTTTCCTAACATACTTATTTGTATAATGCCTTTATATATATTGTCAGAGAAACTCAGATTAAAAAGATGTACCTGTCAACAAAAAAGTCTCGTTTGTGTCAACTCAGGAATTTGAAACTACTTTTCGCTAATTATTTATTCGAATGTTCATAGAACATCAAATATTATGTCTCATCATTGACTATTTAGCAGATGAATTAAAAATGAACTTTTTGGGGTTATCAAATTTGGTGTTTAGAATATAGAAAAAACGTTTATGTAAGTATGCATTTTTAAACATATTTATTTAAAAAGTACGAGTGTTTCCGGAAATTGAATCAAAAGATATACGTACTGACAACAATTCATGGAGCCGCTGTTACAATCACAAGTGATACAATCTTCATATGATGTATAACGTGTACCATCTTCTACATGGTCTTCATTTGGTGCAGTACAGTCTATATGTGTATAAAATATTACATTATTTGCAAATGAAGCTTGTACAAACACTGCTTGCATTTATTTATTTTGATAAATAATTACCTAATAAGAATAACCAAAAGTTTCGACTAGGAGACTTGCTGCAAAAGTTTTATTAAGTTTGCCTAACAAATACAAATATACAAATACAAATATTTATTAGCACAAACTCATCAACAATAAATGGTTAAGGCTAATGGTATATTAATTACATAGCTGATCATACATAATAAGTATTGCAAATAATGACTATATTAATATGTAATATTATAAACACTGATTATGAATTAGACATAATGACAATTTTATAGAGTTTGTTCTGCTTTACGCAGGTTCAGACTGTCTGAAATGAAAGAGGAAGTCAATTTTAGGATTGTGTATGAATTATTATTTAATAAAAAGATTACATTATTTTCATTTTTTTGAAGTTTTGTAGGATCAACGATTATGTTTGAAACTTTTTGGTAAAATATGGCCTATTTAGTTGAGTATTTTTCACAATGTAAAAGAAAATGTTTTTCATTTTCAATTTGACCAGAATTACATACAGAGCAGTATCTTTCATTTCTGGGAATATTTAGATGTCTCCCTCTTTCAATCATCAGAATATGAGCGCTTATACGGATCTTACATATTCTGTCACTTCTGTTTTTCAATATATCAACATAGGGTGGTCTTCTGCCCATTATGTATACACTCTTGAAAAAGTCTAACTTTTTTTATTCAAATATATTTGCATTTTGAACTTGCAAACATTGGTCATTAATTCTTTGTTTAATGGAATTTAAATTACCTTTAACATAATTAAAGTTATTGATGATATAAGACATTCCAAGTCCATTCAAAAGACTCTTGACCTTTATGACCCAAGGGTTTGAATCTACAGATTTAGTGAATATATCATATGCCAAAGAATTTTCCGAAGAAACTATATGGTTCAGGTAGTTGAATATTGAATATAATATTTTATTTTTCAAGGGAATTCTATTAAGTTCACTCGACATCCATCATTAGATGCCTTACAGTGAACCCCTAATATATCTTTGATAAATTTAACATGAAGTTTTTCGAAGGGATCAGAGTCTTTAAAATGTGAATCCACCCCCCAAATTTCACTACAATATGTAAGAATGGGAGTAACTAAACAATCAAACAATTTTTCAAGAAGTCTACATGGGTTGTTGAGACCTATAGTTTTCTTTATTTTATAGTATACCTTCCTGGCTTTTTCCATTAGAGTATTCACAGCAAGGCAAAAATTGCCATTATACTTTAAAACAATACCCAAGTAACAATAATTTGTAACCGTTTCAAGATATGCATTATCATAGGTAAAATGTTTTAACAATGTCTTGCCATTAGAATTAAATATCATAATTTTTGATTTATCAGTATTAACTTGTAGTTTCCATGATGAACAATATTCATGTAAAATATCAAGAGATTTTTGTAGACCCTCTTTGCTTTCAGATAGTAAAACAATATCGTCTGCATATAAAGAATGTTCAAAGAGGTATCCCCAATGGCAACTGGATCCGTATGTTTGTTATCAAGATTACCTACTAGTTCATTTATAAAAAAGTTAAAAAGAAGGGGACTCAATACGTCACCTTGTTTAACACCCCTTTCTGATAGGAATGGAGGACTCAGCCCATTAGAGAATTTTATTCTACATACTGTATCAGTATACATTGAATAAATAACATTAAACATTTTTTGGGGGATATTATGTTTTATGAGTTTAGAAAATAAACCTAGTCGCCATACGGTATCAAATGCCTTTTTTAAGTCTATGAAGGCAGCAAAAACTTTTTTCTTTTTTTTGTCTATATTGATCAGTTATGGTCTTAAGAGTGAATATGTGGTCAGCTGTACGACTTTTCTCTTTAAAACCAATTTGATTTTTACTTATTAAATTTTTGATATCCATAAATTTTACTAAACGTTTATATAAAACCTTATTGAAAAGTTTACCCAGGTTGGAACTAATAGATATACCTCTATAGTTCCCTGGATCAAATTTGTCCCCTTTCTTATGCAAGAGAACAAGTAAGCTTTCATTCCATATTCTCGGAAATTGACCAGATTCGAATATGCTATTAAAGAGTTTATGAAGTGGTTTTATTAAAGTAGGGATTGCATTTTTCAACATTTCATTTGAAATCATGTCAGCTGATGTGCTTTTGCCATTTTTAATTAAACGAATAGCTGTTACTATCTCTTCAATTGTTATCTCTGAACTCAAGTGAGTCAAGTCATCTGTAACATGTGATAAATTAAACTTTTCTTTTAGAGAGTCAAAATCTTTAATAATTTTAGAATGAGAACTATTGTGGTTTATGTCACAGCTATAAAATATACCATTTTTAGTTAGTTTCAATTATTGATTGGAGTAGATTTCGACATATAGCTGAAAATAACTTTAAAATTGCATTCTAATTATATTCTAACAGAGAAGTTAAAGTTTGTAAGAATTAGTAGTCAGTTTTTATGTGGACTTGTTTGTCTTGTCGTCGTCTTCCGGTTTTTTGGTGGTTTTTTGTTGTTGTCATAATTTAGAAGTTTACTATTCGACTTATGAATTATAAATTTCCCATTGGTACCCTGAGCCTCCCCTCTTTAAAAAATACTATAAATAAGTTTGACATCAAATTTGTATCTTGTACTCCCCCTCAAATTATTCATCGATTTTCAAGCCAAAATTGAATTTCATAATTTAATATACATATGAAAAATTATCAAAAGGTTTTTCGGAATCGTAAATATTGAATGGTGCGTTTTACTGTGATTTTAACATTTAGACTGGTTTTAACGACAAACTTATTAATTGATTAAAATAACACTTGATACATTCGTGTGGAAAGCGCTTTTCTGAATTAAGCTTCATCAGCAACGCTCAAATCCCAAAACAGGAAAACCAAATATAATTAATCCCAAAACACGTCAGGAGCTATATGTCAAATGAAAAAAAAAGAAAACAGCGAAATCAGTGTAAGGTCAACATTGCAAAAAGGAGTTGGAACCTTCGTTTCTAAACCCATCAACGAAGAATTTCATAAAGGTATATAGACCAAAATAAACTTATCAGTAAAGGACACAATACAAAGAAAAAACACATATTGGATATATCTTCCACAGTCGCTTGGGGAATGGACCCCCTTTTTCTATTTTTGTTTTGTTTTGTTTTAATTTATTTAAGTATATATTCTGTAATAGTTGAACTTATTTTCACTTATGTAATGTGTTCTTGATCTTTACTATACGATATTACAATATTAGAAATTTATAAAGTTTGACTCTCTATTATTATTTTCCACTGTACGTGAGGGTCCATTCCCCAAGCGCCTGTGGTATCTTCATAAAAGTTTAACTTCAACTTGCGGGTGCCACATGTAGAGCAGTGTCTGCTTAAAATGGTTCAATGCCCTAGTACATGATGTTAAAACCACGAAAAAGGAGTAACCTATGATATTTCATAAAGTTGGTATGAATATTCATATATGTTATGAAAAAGACATTGTTAGATATTTAACTGCACCAGACAGCAATAACTGTTTCAGTGATTCTCGAGGTCAAACTATTTGAAAAACCAAAACTTAATACAGACTTAAAACGAAAAGGTGTTTGAAGTTCACAGTCCAAGAACCTACTGTCATCTACCATGACCAACATGGACCAAAACGTATAGTCAAACCCAACCTTGAAAAGTACCAGGTATATTTTTCTATAAAGCTATCAGAAAACATAATACAGCGATGCAAAAAACAAACTACGGAAAAATTCACCCAAAATAAAAATCTATAATAGTTGTTCAAATAATGGATACGTATCTTACCTTTAAAACCTGGACCGGTAGATGACCGAAAACAATAACTGTCTGCTATGGAAACAAGACTCAGCATTAAAAATACCGCGTTCAAAATAACGTTGGAAAACATCTTTAATGCTATCAATGCAAGCTAGGTTTTGTTGTCAAATCCTTTTATAGCAGATATGAACATGAGTGCTCAATTATTTTAAATGTTTTATAACAAAGTTATTATACTATTATCATCAAATGTCAAACACCTTTTTACATTTTTGCCTGGAGAAAAGGCCGAGCAAAGCATTTGAGATTCATCTAAATGACTGCCTATTAATATACAGTTATTTTATGCATAACGTTCGGTGTAAGTTTCAGTTACTAAACTACATAATTTCTTAAAACATTGGGCTTATCAACCGAAATGGTGTAATCTTTCCTTCACTGAAGACAACCACTAATAATTTTTGGATTTTTGTCTTTAGCAGTTCTCAGAAACCGCTATTCAAATGTTCTAATGCATGTAATTGTTATTCTGACCTTTATAAGTGTGCATCCATTGTTTTATTCGTGTATGAAAGTCTTTTGAGGGGAACTTTGAGCTGTCAAAACAATAGTGGGGTTTACTACAGAACCATTTGGGAAATTTTTCATATTTGTGATTTAAATGTTAATTAAGTGATACAGTCATGGAGTCTTCAACAATAATCATGGGACAATATGGCCTAATACAGTATCATAGGTGAATAGTTTCACATGAACCCTGCCACTAAAACATATATGTTGAATAGGATGAGTCCCCAGTGGACATCCTCACTCTCTGCCATGCAAGAATATTCTTCTATCTCAAAAATGGTTGAGAATTCTACAATAAACCATAATTTTTTCTTTTTTGTTATGTCAAGATGAATTCAATTAAATATATGGCAATTTCCCTGTGTGTCATCAGTACAACCTGGCATTTAGAAGAATAAACTAAATGGTTGAGATCCCAATCCCTGTATTCTGCAATTTTACAAGCGCATGTATTGCTAGTGTAGTGACTACGAATGTAAGTAATCCCATCAACTTAGTCACATTTGAATTCTGATCACACTACGGCAGATCTCAGCTGACTAAATATCAATTATCGTTGACATCAACATGGCATAATCAAGGGTAGAGAGATATCTCGGGAAAAATTTGGTTGAATATATTGCAAACTTTGCACCATACCGGATAAAAAAAAAGGTCATTCGTTGTGTGCAGTACAAACTACCGATGTATAGTGTATACAAACGGCCAGGTCTGATTAGGAACGACGATTCCAACGAGATGCATTGTTAATTGAAACTGTAATAACTGTTGTTCTTGTGGAGATTTTTGTAAGTACATGTTCTAAGTCAAGACAATGACAGGAAATCGTCAATTGCTTCTATGAGAATCGTTTAGAAGGAAGCTAACCGAGAGGTTTTGTATTTGGACATTATTTTTTGTTGTAATGCACTTTGAAGTTTAGTCTTTCTTGTTTCACATTCTTGTACATACATTACAAAAAGGCAATCAGCACTAATTTAAGAATATGTGTTATCCTTAAATGTCTATAACGTTTCATCTATGTTTTAAAGAACACAAATGCGGGATAATATCAGCACACTATAAACTAGGACGGAAAATACTGTCATGATTAGACAATCTTTTTATAAAAGAAAGTATATAAAATACGAAATAGTATGACACACCTTTCTTTATTTCATCGTTGATACATATAGAAATCATTAAGAACTTAAGGTTCCAAATCCCTCAGTTGACCTTACGTGGATTTGGCTATTATTTAAAATCTGCTTTTTTGTTATTTGGCTCCTCGAGTTTTTGAATATTGATACATCCTTGACTTCTTAATTTTGAGGTTTCAGTGTACCTGATAAAGGTTCGTCAAGAAAAGCACTTTGAACTCATCAAATTAATAAATTGTCATTTTCACAATCATTTAGATAACTAAGGGGCACGTCTAGATATTTGTGTGATAACTTGTAATTAAATAAAGTTTAAATAGACCCAATAATGTGGATGATCTACATAATTAGTTTGATAATCGATTTAAAATTTGCTAATACACAAAAAAGAGGTTTAAAAAAATCAAATACGTCATAAAAATATAGCAGCATAATCCTCAGGCAATTTGGAAACTTACTACGACTTCATACATCACGTGAGACAAACAGTCACCTAAAGTAATTGAAAACCTAATATTGTTATGGTATACTAGGATAAATAAAGGATTGTTTTTGTTAGAATAGTTGCTGAAATAAGCAGGCAATATTCAAAGTAGAATAAAAAAACAATCCTAAAGCATTCTACGCAACCATGTTACAGGACTGTGTTTTAAAGTAATAAGAATTGTGTATAAGTGTCATAATATTTTGTTGAGGCAAAATTAGGTAAGAAAACTGAAACCAAAAATTCAAATTCATGTCAAGACTTATGCCATAATAAGTCCCATGAACAAAGTATTTAAAAATAAAAAGAGCTGCAGGGGTTGAAATATAATAAAATGCGCAGCTTGATACGACCGCAGAGGTCGAACCCTGAACAGTTGGGGCAAGTATGGACACAACATTCAAGCTTGATACAGCTCTGAATTTGGATTGTGATTAAATATTTGACACAACATAGGTTTCTGACACAGAATGAATGTGGTCTAAGAACTTAATTTTTTTTAATTTACCTATTATGGTCCAATATCCAAAATCTAAATACATGGTTAGATTCAGCATATCAAAGAATCCAAAGAATTCAATTTTTAATGAAATCAAACAAAGTTTAATTTTGGACCCTTTTTACCTCAATGTGGACCAATTTGATAACAGGGCCCAAAAATCAAAATACATGGTTAGATTCAGCATATCAAAGAACCCCATATATTCAATTTTTGTTGAAATCAAACAAAGTTTAATGTTGGACCCCAATTTGGACCAACTTGAAAACTGGGCCCGAAATCAAAAATCTAAATAATGTTTCAATTCAGCATATCAAAGAACCCCATATATTCTATTTTTGTTAAAATCAAACTAAGTTTAATTTTGGACCCTTTGGAAGTTAATGTAGACCAATTTGAAAACTGGACCCAAAATTAAAAATCTTAGTACACGGTTAGATTTGGCATATCAAAGAACCCCAATAATTAAATTTTTGATGAAATAAAACAAAGTTCAATTTTGGACCCTTTTGACCTCAATATGAACCAATTTGATAGCGGGCCCACAAATAAAAATCTGAATACATGTTTCGATTCAGCATATCAAAGAACCCCATATATTCAATTTTTGTTAAAATCAAACTAAGTTTAATTTTGGACCCTTTGGAAGTTAATGTAGACCAATTTGAAAACTGGACCCAAAATTAAAAATCTTATTACACGGTTAGATTTGGCATATCAAAGAACCCCAATAATTCAATTTTTGATGAAATAAAACAAAGTTTAATTTTGGACCCTTTTGACCTCAAAATGAACCAATTTGATAGCGGGGCCCACAATATAAAAAATCTAAATGCATGGATAGAATCAGCATATCAAAGAACCCCATATATCCAATTTTTGTTGAAATCAAACAAAGTTTAATTTTGGACCCCAATTTGGACCAACTTGAAAACTGAACCCGAAATCAAAATTCTAAATAAATGTTTAGATTCAGCATATCAAATAACCCCATATATTCAATTTTTGTTAAATTTAACTAAGTTTAATTTTGGACCCTTTGGACCTAAATGTAGACCAATTTGAAAACTGGACCCAAAATTAAAAATCTAAATACACGGTCAGATCTGGCATAACAAATAAATAAATGTGGTCAAAGATTTTACAAATCTAATGCGCCATACTGTGCAATTAAAGATTACTTCTTGAAATTTTCAATATTTGAAATTTGAAAAAAAAATAATATTTGAAGAATAATTCTTTTTAGTTTTCCAACATGTTGACGACGGCCAATGGTATACCATAAAAGATGACAGGGTGTCATACCACACCAAAACCTTCTGAAGGAAACACTAAGTTGGCAAACAAATTGGGTTTTTTTTCATTGACAACCCTGTATAACCTTGCAGCAATAGTATCAACTCTATATGCATTACCTTGTATATTACATGTACATTGAACTTAAACATATGTGGTCATTGTCAAAGTTAGTTTTGTCAGTTATAATTTACACATTTACTGAAACATGCCAGAGAAGTGCATGTACACACTTTAGAATTTGATCCGCAGACTGGGAAATCCAACCTTTTTTATGAATAAAATCCCACAACTCTGAAACTATAAAACCTTAACTTTATAAAATTGAAAGGAAGCTTGCATCAATAGATATAAACAATTAACCAAAGTTTCATGACAGCAGAGTTCGCGAAAATGGTCGGTCCTGTCGGTCAAAATGAGGCTTGGACCAGTATTTTAAAGGCTAGTGCCGGTCCTGATGACCGATGTAAAAACGGCCGTTGTAGTGCATATTTCGCCACTTTTTTACTTCGGTTATTAGATTTACCGCAACTGCTTCCAGTAAGTGTTTACATCAGTTATAAGATGTACGCGCTGCCAATTTCCGGTACTGGTTTATGGATTTATTATAAACAAACCAAAGCGGCGATCTACACGTGGCCTACTAAATTTGTTCATAGAGCCATCGCTGGCAAACAATCAGCGATTGAACCCAACAATGAAGCAAACTAATACTGTAACAGCTGTGAAAGTGATTCAGATGATGAAATGGATAGTGAAGATGACTTTAATTAAGAACAATCAGAAGACCTGAACTGGTCCTTCATTGTTAATTTGCCTGTGGGTGCGAAGAAGAAAACTAATATTAATAAAGTTATTTTTCGATAAAATATGTTATTAATTTTATTTCAGGATAAAATTGACAGATTTTGTAGGACTGGCTAAAATTTTGTAGGACTGACAAATAATCATGCTTTGTCGGTCCCATGGCCGACGGACCAAAATAAGTTTTCGCGAACTCTGAATTGACAAATGACAACTGTTTAAAGCATTTTCGAGTAAATGCCCGAAAACATGGAAATCCCCCTTTTTGAATGAATAAAACCCCTTACATTGTGACTGGATAATGTAAAATTTAAAATTCCAAAACAATCTAAAGGGAGCTCACATCAATACATGAATACAATTCCATATAACTCTGAAATGGGAAACCTAAAA